CTCAGCTTGTTCCACTCCTGCCATGGGCAGGGACACCTTCCATTAAATCAGGTGCTCCAAACCCCGTCCCAGGGCACAGCCAGGGACAGACCTCAGCTCCTGAAGCACAACTTCCCAACGAGCTTTGGGATTTTGGGGCCAGAAAGGTGCTGTTTCCTCATCTGACAGTCCTGAGGGTCAGCTCAAGATGAGAATTTCCACCCAAAACAGCAACATCTCAGCCCAACTTCTTCCAGCAGCATCTGCTCTGGATCTGCAGAAGGGCTGAGGGACAGGGACACAGCATCATCTGCTGGATCTGAAATGCTGAGGGACAGGGACACAGCATCATCTGCTGGATCTGAAATGCTGAGGGACAGGGACACAGCATCATCTGCTGGATCTGAAATGCTGAGGGACAGGGACACAGCATCATCTGCTGGATCTGAAATGCTGAGGGACAGGGACACAGCATCATCTGCTGGATCTGAAATGCTGAGGGACAGGGACACAGCATCATCTGCTGGATCTGACGGGAGCTGGGGCCACAGCTCTGAGCTTTGCTCTCACGGTGGGAGCACGACCTGGCAGAGATCCTGAGGATGATGAGTGCAGGAACGAAAGCAGGAGAGAGGGGAGGAAGTCGAGGGACTGTCCTGCAGTGCTTGCAAGCCTGAGTTTTTCCAGGAGGTGGCTCCTGTCAACTGGAATTCCCACCCCAAAACCTTCCCAAGGGTGTAACCTTCGCCTTGCTGAAGGACCTTCAGGGTTCAGCTCCAGGAGGAGATGGTGATGCTCTTCCTGCCTCACCCAGCCCTGTCCAACAGCAGCAGCTGGCCTCATGTGGGGCTGGCTGCAGGTTTTGCCTCTGTCCGAGGAAAGGAAAATCTGCAGCAGCCAGGAGGATCCTCCCGAGAGCCTTACAGAGGGATGGACTCCACCTCATCCGCTGAGGCTGCCCTGCTTTGTGCAGAGAGCACAGAAACACTCCTGGGAGAGGAGCTGTGCTCCCTGCCCCACTCCCGGGTTGGAGAATCACAGACAACCTGTCCTGGCCAATTTCCAGCCCAAGCACTAATTATCCTTCCATGCCAATGGGAACAATGGCAGTGGAAAAGGAGGATCCTGGTCATCCTTCTCCAAACTCTAAAAGCAGAGTGATGCCAGCCCTGCAGGAGTCCCACGGGTGAAAAAAATTGTTCGTGGCATTTTTATGACAATGTTCTCAGATAAAAGAACCTGGTATTCTGAAACAGGAGGGAAAAAAAGATAAAATAAAGATCCCAGGGAAAGATCTGAGGGGAAAGGCAATGGCCGTGGGCAAGATGTGCCGAGGAGGGAGTTTGGCCACCAGCCACGCAGGACAGAGTGCCCAGGACAGGGTCACTCCTCTCCAGGGCTGAGCCAGCTCCTATAATGAGCTACAAACTTTTGCCTAGTTGGACCTTTGCATCATTTGCATGTTAGGTGTAAGGAGAGGCAGGAACTGCCAAAAGCGGAGCTGCTCAAAGGCCAGGAGGAGATAAGAGACACTGCCCTGCTTAACAAAGAGACATTTCCAGACCTGAGGAAGTGAGGCAATCCTGGCTAATTAAGATGACTGACCAAAGTCTCCCAGGAGGAAGAAAGAAGGTGAAAGATGAAAATCTTTGTGTTTCGAAGGTGAAGAGACCAGGAAAGCTCACCTGGGAAGGTGGGAGGTGTCCCTACCTGTGGCAGGGGGTGGGACAGGATGGGCCTTCAGGTCCCTTCCAACCCAAACTGTTCTGTGATGAGAAGGTGGAAAATCCTGGCTGCTATTCCTGTCACCAACCAGGCCACAGCAGGTCCCAGGTGGTGTTTAGGAGCATAAAGGGGCAGAAGGATTTTGGAAAACCTTTGGGTAACAGTTTGAGCTTTGCTGAAAACCCCAAATCTCCTTCAGAACCTGCTCCCTCCCAGTCCAGGCACAAGGACCAAGCTGTGCTGCTGGGTCCCAGGGTCCCGAGCCCCATCAGACCCATCCCATGTGCTGGCAAGAGCCCAGTCCTGGCTCCCAGCAGCCACAGTCCTCCTCCCCCATCCCCTGAGATCCCCTCCGTGCCCAGGAGCCTGGGGAGAAGGGAGCTGCCAGCCGTGCCCTCAGACACAAAGCAGAGCAGGAGAGGCTGGAGGAGCGGCAGCGAGGGCAGCAGATGCCCGAGGCAGGAAAGGGGAGCTGCCTGCAGCCACATCTCTCCATAGAAGGCAGGGAAGGAGCAGGTTTGTTTCTGCAGGAGGAGAAGAGTTATGGCTGTGAGAAACGGCGGCTAAAAATACCCCGAGGACCAGGGAGGTCACTTGGGAGAGACCCAGACCCGTTGCATGTCTGGGGCAAAGGTGGCAGTGCCACACGTGTGGCACTGTGGCCTCCTGCCAGCCAGTGGGGGAGGATGCTCAGTGCACCCAAGGGCGAGGACTGGGGGGCCAGACCCACAAACAGAGCCCTGCCCTGTGCCCCTGGTTTGGGGCCTGAAGGCAGCAGCCTGGCCCAGCCTCTTTGTTGGGAATTAGGGCACAATTTAAGCTCTGCAGGTGCTGCACACCAGTGTTAGGATTGTGCAGGGAATGGAGATACCAACGCCCAGGGGACTCTCAGGGTGCCCCTGAGCTCAGGAAAGGGTTCAGCTGTCCCCAGTCCCTGTCCATGTGACAAACACCTGGAAGGTTTTGGATATAAGATGTCCTTGTCCCTCACACCTCTGACCCCAGAGACCTTCCCAGTGGGATGCACTCATTGACTGGGAGCGAACCTAGCACTTTTTCCTGGTGGGATTCTCCCACTGGCAGCTGTTCAGCCACCAGGAGCCCCAGAGGGGAGCACATCCAGGTTAAACTCACCTGTTCTCCCAGCTCTGAGCTTCTCAGGATGGAGGAGGCATCGCCAACATCCAGTCCAGCACCGCCCTGGAGACCTCACCCACCGGCTGATCTGCTTGAACCATTTCCCATCTCAAGTTTCAGCCGGAGAAAAGACATTTCAAATCATTTCTCCTCTTTTGAAGGGGCTGGTCCCTGTGGACGACTCTGCAGTGAGGGCATGAGGAGGATCTTGCCTGGCCTGGGTCCCAGTAAATCACAGTTCAGAGACAGCCAAACTCCATTTTATGATTATTAACCCCAGCCCTGCTCATTTGTTTGGCCTGTCTGAGGCTATATTTAGTGATGGGTGCAGGCATGGCCAGGGGGGAATTGTGTGCAGCTGTTAAACACAGACCCCTACCTTCCCCAAAAAAAATTTTAAAAGCTAACAAAACAGGAAGACTATGCTTGGAAAATGAGAAGCAGCTGTGAAGAGGAGGGATGAGGTGTCATACAGGGAGGACTGACTTCAAACCTTGCAGGAAATGTATGAGAAATTTCCCAGCAACTTTTGTAATCCATCATCCCCCCCATGTCCCGTGGTGGCTCTTGGCTCCTGTCACAGCCTGTGAGTGCCAGGGCCAGGAGCATCTCAGGCTGGACTCAGCAGGAACAGCCACAGAAGTGGTTGTTTGCTCTTGCATCGCCATCAACAATGTCCTGCTGTGCCTTTGTGACAGTCCCAAATCACCACAGATGGATTAAATGTCACCAACAGGCAGGTGCAGAACCGAGGGAGCTCCAGGGCTGGTTCTGGGAATTTCAACAAGGGAAAGCTTTGAGCAGGGGTAGTGAAATACTCTGAGCACTCAGGGAGTGCAGGACACAACCAGGATGGAAAAATAGAGGTGGAGAAACACGGAGAGGCCTTGCTGAGATCAGTGTCCTCTTCGTGCCCCCTCCAGGCACAGATCCTGGCACAAAGCAGCAGGAGAGGCTGTTATTCCTCATCATTGTTCATTTTGGAGCTGTCAGAGAGGGGTAAACCAGGCAAGGTGGGGACAAGATGAGCTTGAAGTCCCCTCCAACCCAAACCATTCTGGGATTCTGATTTATTCCACATTCCTGGAGGAGTTCAGAGCTGGAAGGGGCTGGAAGGGGGAGGAGAGAGAGTGTGATTCTGAGGCCCTGGTAGCAGGCAGAGTGGCCCTGGCATGGAGGAAACCAGGGCTGAGCCCATCTCTTGGCTCTTCCCCAGTTTTCCTGGTGGCTCTAACGGCAGCGCTGGCACCTGGGGCAGGTGCTGCAGCAGTTTAACGTTTCGTCTGGAGGCAGAGCTCAGGGGAGGCAATACCAGTGCCCAGCTCATGCCCTGCTTTGACTAGGGATGCCAGTGCATCAGCTGGCCAGGTAAACCCGAGTGTTGACCTGGAAATCACTCACAGCTGGGACCTGGGGTCCGTTCCTGGAGCCTGCACCCTTGCCCTTCCACCCTTGCTCGTAGTTTCCTGTTCGCCCAGTGAGTGTGGGGTGAGAAGGGCCTGGCTGGGTTTGTTTTCCTGCAGCACAAGCTGCTCTCAGTGAGGCACGGGGAGCTGGCTTCCCCTGGGCTGTGGTTTCAGCAGCTGCCAGCCCCGGGCTTGGCCACAGTCAGGTGTGCAGCGACCGCACAGGAGCACAGGGGAGCTGACATCAAGGTGCTCATCTGCAAAGGAAGGGGCTCCCAACTGAAGCATCTTCTGCGTGGTCGGCTTGTGGTGACCCAGCCCAGCCCTCCCTGCCAGCACCAAACTCGGCCCCACGCTCGGGTTCTGCACCTGCTGCCTCCAGTGCTCCTCCCGAGGATGGGTCCTTGTTTGCTCCTCAGCCAAGCTCAGGCAAAGGTCTGGGGGGAAATGCGAGACCAGATTCCTGCTGTAGGAGCTGTCTCAGGCTCACCGTGGTTTTCACTCTTCCAGGGTGACAGGAACCGTGGGTCTTCCTCCGTGTGCCCCGGGGAAAGAGTGATGAAGTCACAGAAGCCCAGAATCCCCGAGGCTGGAACAGCTCTGAGGGATCATCGAGTCCAAGCTGTGCCCAATGCCCACCTCGTCCCCAGCCACCTCCAGTCCTTCCTTGGACACCTCCAGGGATGGACACTCCAAACCTCCCTGGGCAGCTCCTTCTAATGCCCGAGCACCCTTTCCATGGAGAAATCTTTCCTCAGAGTCCAGGGGCAGAGCTCAGTGAGGCTGTGCCCCCTGCCCACCTCTGGCCAGGACCCCCTGTCCTGCTTTGCGTCTCTAAGCCCAGGTGATTTTCCTGAAGAGAAAGGAGAGCTGGGACAGTGGCACAGCCCTTGAGAAACTCTGGCTCTGTGCAAACACCTTTGAAACCCAGAACTTCTTTTCCATCCCGAATTTGCAGCAGCCTGGAGGGATTTAACCCCTTGTTTTGCTGCTCCATCTCAATGCCACGTGCAGGCAGGAGAGGGAGAATGTGGGGAGAGAATCTGATTCACTGTGCAAAGCCCCAGTTGGGAGAAGGAGTTTGATTTACCAAGGCCAGAGGTAGTAAAGAGCTTGGACAGGAATTTGTGCTAAACCTTTGACACACAAGACATTTCCCTTTCAGGCCAAGACAAACAAAGGAAGGAAGTGTCTGGGACTTTTAAAGCGACCTAGTGGAGACAGGTAAGGGCAGATAAGGGCTGAAGGAAGAGTGGGCTGGACAAGGGAAGTATCCAGTTGTACAGATTTGTTGGAATCGTGAGTGCTCTGCAAATCAGGCTGAGGGAAGGCAAAACCACCTGGGGAAGGGCTCTTTGCAAAGGGAGAAAGAGGCTGAACATCCCCGAAGTGCTGAGCACGGCCTTTCTATTCACTCCCTGCTGTTTTTCCACTCGCTTTGCTAAGTTCTCTGTGCCTGAGGCTGGCAGGGTTTCTAGGCTCATTAGCTGCTCACCAGCAGGCTCTGCAGAATCTCCTGTCAGACCTTTCAATTTCTCAGCATCATCCTGGGTGTAAAAGAGTCTTTGCCCCTTTCCTGCACTCGGGTCCTGTAATAAAAAAAAAAAAGCAGCTGGAGCTGTTCCTGTGAAAGGGAGAATAACACCCTGTGGTGGAGAGATGGAAACAATCCCACATGATAAAAAAGCTCTTCACTGATGCTGTTCTCTGTCCCCACACCACCTGTACGGGGGACACAAGGGTTCTCCTGTTTCCAGGGCTGGGAATGGGAGCAGCAAGGAGCCTTCTGTGGGGCAGCAGTCAGGAGTGGCTCCCCTCTGGCTGTGGCACCTCTGGCTGACTCTGCGAGGAAGCCAGGCCTGTCCCCAGCCTGGTAAGCAATGCTCTTTCCTGGTACAACATCCCTGATCCCTCATGCCTGTAGAACAGGATTGCTACAACATCGTCCCAGCTGACAGATTTAAAATACCAGGCTTAACCTTGCCTGTACAGGGTTAATTTCCCTCTCAGGATTTTGGTTTCTCTCTGGAGTCATCTGTTTGGTGACTCCACAGGTTCCCTCAGTGAATCCCTCTGGGAACATTTTGCTCTTTGACCTCAAATCTTTCCCTTCTCCACTAAATTGCTCCAGTTTGTTTTTAACCCTTTATTCCTCGTGGAAGATACAAGACAGTGAGATTAGTGAGGAGGCCCTGTGGGATTCCCAGAAGGGATGGAGGAGGATAATTGGCGAGACCCCAGGGCCAGAAGGAGCAGGGGGGGTTCTCAGTGCTGTCCCCACAGCCACAGAGTCACTGACCCCACTCCTTGGCCTTATCTCGTGGTGAGTTTTGCATTCTGAGTCATTGAACAAACACAAGTACTGCTCTCCCTGGCCAGGACTCCCAGGGCCCAGAGCAAGGCTTGGATGAGGTTCCTCCACACGCCAAGACCATGAAAAACAAAGCTGCTGCTGCTTTCTGGGTTATTTATGCACAAATAAACCTTTCCTACCCAGAGGGGTCAAGGTTATGAATCCATAACTCTCCTTTCCTATGGGGACTTTGTTTGTGACTCATTCCTGGCCAACCTCGGGGGCTCCCAGTGCACGAGCCGGGAATGAGGAGCTGCTCACAGCGAGGAAGAGCTTGGCAGAGGCAGCTGAAGGCTCCCTGCAAGGGCTGAGCATGGGCCACCCTCCTTCCTTACCACTGAGCCCAGAAAAGCCATCTGTGGGACAATCAAATCCTTTCAAATCCCAGAAAATTGCCTGGAGCACCATCTGGAGGCAGCTCCTGGAAGGCGTGGGCAGAGCTGTGACACCTTTCCCGGGATGGGCACATGGGTGTCCCTCTGCCACCTCTGCTGGGGTGACGTGCCCATCACCAGGGACCCTCCATGAGGAGTTCCTATCCCACCAGCAGCTTCCAGGACACAGCAGGACCTGGGATTCAAGGTCCCCGAGCTGCAGCTCCTTGTTCTGTTCTGTTTCTCTTGGACCAAGTCTGTTCCTGGATATTCTGCCCAGCCATCAGCTACTCTGGCAGGTGACTCCAAAATGAGGGTTTGCCACGCTCAGTCCCTCTCCTGTGTCCCTGGAAACTGGGAAGGGGAACAGGATCACTTTTTTTTCTCCTCCAATCCATGCATTTACAACTGTGGTGTAACTTTTTCTCTGCCTTCCATTAGTTCTTGTTGCTGCAGCACAGATGGATCTGCCTGAAATTAGGGAGTGCTTCTCCAGAAGTCCTTGGTCTGTTTGGGCTTGATTTGCTATTGATTTTTGCTGGGCTTGATTTGTTACTGATTTTTCTAAGATTTTTTTTCAAGGACCAGTCTGACTAGAAGTATCATCCACTGGGTTTGACCACAACTTTGCTATCCTGCTCCATCTTTCTGATAACACTCGTGCAGCGCTGCATGCCATTTCCCTCTGCTCTCTGGAAGTGGAAATTATGACATTTTAAAATTCTGCTGATGCTGAGAGGAGCTGTGATTTCTAAGAAGCTATGCTGTGCATGCCCTGACACGTTTCATGTCTCAGCACTCAGCTGTGCTCTGAGCCTTCAGTGAAGGGCCTGGAATAGTTGTTTCATTTTTTTTTTTTTTCAGGGATTTGCTTTCTGTAATCTGATCATTCATGTCGTTCACAAAGACAACTTGATTTTTCAATATGTGATCCGCTTCTCCACGGCTGATTGAGGCTTTCTGCACAATGAGATGACTCTTTGTTGCCAATTCGTGAGGAATTCTCATCAAACATGGACTTAGAAGACATTTGCCCTGCTGCAGCTCCGTGGCTGCTTTGGGATGCCCACCCTGGGCAGCTCAGGGAATGTGTTTAAGGCTGATGCATCCCTGGGTGTTGTTTTTCTCTTCATCTCCTATGTCCGCAGCATTAAACACTTCCTTCCCCTTCAGCCCTAGAGGCTTTTCTCAAAGCTGGAACCCCAGGGGCAGCTTGAGCAGGGCCTCCCTATCACCAGAATCTGCCTATCTGCAGCTCAAAGGAAATTCTGCTTGGCTGCTGTGTTCCAGCTCCGGATGAAATGCCCGCACGGCAGAGCATCAGTGTGAGGGGCTGAGGAGCTGCTCCCCAGGAAGATTGGCTGGGAAAACAATCAGGGGCTCTCCTTCCACGGGGCCAGAGCCAGCCCTGTGCCACGGGACTCGTCCCAGGCTCTCAGGGCAAGAGGTTTCAGGATTTCGGTGCTTCAGAGAAAGGGAGTCGAGGGACCTGATAAACATTTACGTGGGGAGAAACATCTCGGGGCTGAAACATCAAATAAAACCCCCTGGAATGAAATATGATCTCAAGGACTGCATGAAGCCATTAGAAAGTCTGGGCAGGTTTAAGAGCTCACTTGTGTGGAAAAGGGGGAGTTTGGTAATTTCAAGTGTTTCTACACCACTCACGGCGTTCCCCAGGGCCTGGAGCATGCTCGTGCTGCTAAAAATAAACCACTCAGGAAGGCTCCGACAGCCTTCTCAGAGCTTCAGGTGCTCTGAGCTGCAAAAGAGGAGAAAAAGCCACAAAAAAAGAATGGATGAGGCTGTTAGACGTGCCTGGGTGAGAAATAACCACCTCCAGCTCCACTCGACAGAGGAGTGAACAGGGAGCTGTTGTCTCACTGGGGGGAAATTATAGTTGAGAGAAAACAGCTCACCTCTGTCCCTTTGTTTCCTGAAAGCTGATGGAGGAAGACTCAGAATTAGGGAGAGAGAGAGAGATTGTTTTCTCTTTCTAGAAGACACCGCATGTTTTTATTCTCCCCATTCGTTGTGCGTGTTTAGATAAAAGTTAGGACACAAAGGCTTTGCTGGGTTGGTGCCAAGCTAAAGCTCAAGAAAACAAACCTCAACCTTCAAGGCCGAGAGGTTCAGTGGGTCGTTAAAGGCAGTCCTGCTCGCACAGGAAATCACATCATGTAATCTCTTGTTTGGGATTTTGGCAAAGGATCCTTTTCAGAGGGGAGCGCTGCCATTTTGGAGAGCAGCAACCCAAGAGAAACACAGCATTTGAGGGAGCAGGGATTTTTCAGGATCTGTCTGCAGAAATAGCCGGGCTTCATTCCCAGTTGGGAGAACAATTATTAATTTCATGGCAATTAAAATTACCTTCTTTTCCATGCTATCTACAGAAGCCTCCACCAAGGGAGGTGAGAGAGAAACATTCTTTTGTCCCATCCAGGACCTGTTCCACCATTCCTGCTCCAATTCTTTAAGCTCTCAAAAACACACTTTATTTCTACCCTTCTGTTCTGCAGGGAAACCACAGACAATTGTCCTCTGTGCAGGGCTTGTCACAGTCTTGGATACACTCTGGAGTGATTTTATCCGAAGCGTTTCTTTCTCTTTCTCATGGGCCATATGGAACAGTATCAAAAGCCATAAAACTTTATGTATTTACAGCCTCTCCTGGGAGCACAGCGCTCAGAACATCGTTGTAGATGTAAATTAGCTCAATTATCTTTGCTTGGGATGGTTGGATCTTGCCCAATTACCGTTGCAGTTTCTCATTCTCTGTGACGCTGACAAACAACCCATTTAAGTGCTTGTTCCACTGTTTTCCCAGTCCCAACACCACATAATTCTCTCTGATCTTCAGCCTCTGTTTTAAGAGAAACTTTTAGCATTTTTCCTTGACTATTTTCCACCCTCTCTGGATTAAGGTTCCCTTCTTGGCTTTCTGGCACCTGTGAGTGAATTTAATCTTACCCAAACTACCTGAAAGCGTTCTATGAATTCTAGTGCATCTCTACCCTGTTTTTTCCTTACTACACTGAGATTTCTTTCCTCTCTCAGTTCTAACCCTCATCTGACCCATCACCCTTTGAAGTTTTGACATTTCAGCCTTCTTGGCATCACCCTCCATCAGCTTCTTGTCTGGAGAACAACTGAGATCCACAGATTCCTTCCACACACAGAAACTCCTCTGTTAATTGCCAGTGAGAACTGCTGCTGCTGCAATCTTATCAAATCTGAGCACTGCAATTTTTCATTACGCTTATGCCATGATAGCAGGGCCACATGCCTTTGGACCAGAAATTCTGATTTTCCCTCATGCTCTGGCTTTCATTAGTTAACAACACTGAAAATCCCATGGATTCTCTTGTACCTTCTCTTGGTGGGGCCTGGTCTGCTCATTGATTCATTTCTGGAGTAAACAACAAGAGTAAAAAAAGGGTGGCTTCTCTCTCTGTGCCCTGAGCTGAACCATTTCCAGTCCCCTGGAATGATTGAGCAGGTCCTGGATGTTCCAACCACTGCTAAACCACCCTTGAGGGGTGTCAGTATTCTGGGACTGCTCCAAGTGGAGTTGCAGGAGCCACTTCCAGCGTTTCACACTGAATCCCTGCATTATTCAGGTTGGAAAAGCCCTCTGAGACCAAGCTGTGCCTGATCCCCACCAGAGAACTGAGTACCACATCCACTCATTCCCTGGACACCTCTAGGAGGCCAGCCCCTTCCAATGCCTGACCATCCTTTCCATCAAGAAATTCCTTCTGAATTTTCACTGCCTTTTTTTTGAATTTTCCTTTTTGAACTTCCTGAGTTTTTCCTTGATCCCAGGTGGGGTGAAGGCTACAGCCCCTCACAGGGCAGAAGCTGGATCAAAAGGGAGACTTTAGAACTCTGAACATCCCAACGTCTCCCAATGCTCCCCACCAGGGTTTTGCTGTTCTCCCTGCCCCGGGTGCTCTGGAGCTTCCCAGCCTGGCTGAGCAGCAAATGCTCCAGGTTTATCACCCCATCAGAGCAGTTGGAAGACAGTTGAGTGTCTCTGGGGTGCTGATAGCAGGGAAGGCTTTGCTCTGGAAGATAAGCGTCCCTCCCTGAGCAGCCAGGGGAGGCCGTTGGTATCTCAGTGTCTTCCAGCCCCTCCAGACACACCCTGGGGGTGCTGGGGATGGCGAGGAGTTAACCGAACCCCTCGCTATCATCCGCGCTCTGCTCCCTGGAATCGTTTCTCCCACGCCGATCAAGCCTCTGCAGTGACCTCATTGCCTCACCCAGCTGTAAACAGGCAGGCAAAGCCTCGTTGTTTTAGAGATGGATTAAATCAGGGGAGAAAAGCACTTCGGGAAGGTGTTTGAAATGCACAACAGCTCTGTTTTCTGCTTGAGCGGCTGCCCAGGAGAGAATAGCATCACAAGCATCCCCTGTCAGGTTTGGGGGAAGCAGGAGTGTCTGGAGTGTAGCTATTCCCTGCCAGCTCCAGCCAGAGCTCCCTGTGTCACCCCACAGCAGCAATCCAGGCTCTGGTGGTCACCCAGCACTCAGGTGTGAGTGATGCAGAAAGTCCAGGCCGCCTTTATCCAGAGGAATCAGTCGATCCAAGCACCTCTACCAGAGTGAGGCAGAACCAGGGTGTGCACAGAGGCTGCACATCCAAAGCATTTGGAAACAAGGAGAGTAAATGTGGTGAGGCAACAATATTGGTTTCACAGCTTCTGCCTATATTACATAAAAAATATTATTCTTTTTAATTTTAAATGCTGCCCAGCCTTTCCCTTGGGCCCTGCTCAGCTCAGAAGGATGAACACCCTCCACAGGCAGCTCTCTAAGGTCCTGCTCTGTTTTTCTTCCACAGGAAACCACCTCTTTCCCAAATACTGATATTTTCATCCAAATAAAGGGGAGTGAGGTTGGAATATTGTTTAAAAATAATCCAGCTGCGAGGCAGAAATCTAAAAGTGGTGCAAAAGCATCGCTCTTTTTCACAGGCTGGGGGGAGAACCACACTCCAAAACCCAGCAGAGTCATCCGTGGGGAGCCTCTGCCATCTGCTGGCGCCGAGTCCCGCAGCAGCGCCCGTGCTCGGGAGAGATTGTCAGCAAACAGGAGGGGAAAATGGGCATTTTTTAAGTACCTAAAGCCTTTTTCTAGGAGAAACATTACCAATTTTGGTCTCATCAAAGATACTGAAATCATAGGAAGGTTTACATTGGAAGGGACCTAAAAAATCATCCAGTTCCATGCCCCTGCCATGGTTCCAGCAGACCAGAGTCCTCCAAGTCCCATCCAGCCTGGCCTTGGACACTTCCAGGGATCCAAGGACAGCCACAGCTTCTCTGGGCACCTGTGCCAGGCTTTCAGCACTTTGATAGCAAAGGATTGTCTCCTCATGTTTCCAGACAGTGGAGACCCCAGGTTTTCAGTCAGGGATTTGTACAAAGCCATGAATTAAACACCTCTGTGAAAGGGTTAAAGATTTATAAGGTTTATAGTCTGCTTTTCCCACCCTCTTTCCCCAGAGAGGTTTGTACTCCCCATGGGAGCAGCACAGCCAATGGGAGCTGGAAAGGTGCAATAGAAACTGTGACAAACAGAAAACACCTTTTTGTCATCTGTCTTCTTACTCATAGGAGCCTCACCTGAACTTGAATGCCAGTAAAGAAGTTACAGACAATTAACAGATGTTCAGCCAGGACTCAAACTGTGGCAGGGAAATTCTGCAGCCACACCTCAAAGTATTTTTAGTTCTGGCTTTGGCTACTCAGATGGAGCTTCTTGAAGCTTCCCAACACTGCAGGCACAGTTTGCAGAACAGCATTTCCAGGTTCTGTCTTTCCTGCTCCATGTTGCAGCTCACTCTGGTGGTCCAGAGCCCCTTCTTGTGGCCTAGAATCAGCTGAAGGAACTTTATAACAAGCAGGTGATTTTCTGGACAAATAAACCAGGATTTCCTTTCAAACCAGCTCAGAATCCGTTCAGTGTTATTTGATGTAACAATGTTTTTAAGGCAAGGATTGTTTTCAAAACCACCAACAAAAATATTTGTATTATTTTTTCCTCTGCATCTCATTGCAGCTCTTTTGCTTTTCCTTCCCACCATTTATCTTTCACACCAAGCCTTGCCTGTACTTCCTATTTGGCTACTGGTTGGTAGTTTTCTCATTTGATGTTATTTTTGACTTCCATCCAAGCTTTGTATGATATTAATAGCTGTTGCACAAAACTGTAATCATCCTCAAACCAGCCCTAATATTAGCAGGAGTAGCCAAGAACTGTTGTCAAGGCCTGAGGGATTTGAGCAGTGAATTTTCTCCTCCATGCTGCCAGTTCTGCCCCAGCCCAGGGAGACAAGACATCTGCCCAGCAGCCACTCACACAGCCCCATCCTGGCCACCTCAGGCAAGAGAGAAGCACCTTGGTCAAGCCCAAATGCACAGAAAGATGCTAAAAGAAGATGCTGATGCGAAGATTCAAGACTTAGATGTTACCCGTTGTCTAATTAATGCTTCAGCCTTATCAAGATAGAGCAATCACTCATTGTTCATCCAGCAGTGCTAACGCTAATAGTCAAATTACTCATTTTCTATTAAAGGTTGTCAGCAACAGAAAAAAATAAACACATGGAATAAAAGCATCTACCCTGCTCCTCCAGCAGTAAATTCTCCTCCTTCCTTTGCACTGCTGCAGTGACTCATCAGCATCCTGAGGGGGAAATAGTGATGGGTTTTTTCTTCTTTGCTGGGAGGAATATGATTCTAAGACTGGTGGTTTCTCCCTTCTCTGTTTAGAGTTTACTTGAGGCTACATTTTAAATGTATTTTCTGCTGTTCTCTCCACTGGAGTCGTTCTTCCCAGGGCTATAATCCCCCGTTACACCCAGACATACCACATGTCCTGCATTTTACCTGTATTTTTTCTGTCTCTTCCACTGGTTTCTGTCACCTGCCAAAACCTCAATGGTCAGCAATGACTTCCTGGTGAGTTGCTGATATCCCCGGGGCCATTTCCAGCTCAGCTGTCAGCACTTCCTGCTCCTTAGGGAAGGAATTGGGATTTACCCCAGGTGCACCAGTGCCTCACACAAAACAGTGCAACTGCAGTTGCCATCCCCTTTTTGCTGGGCAGTTTCTGTGACAGGCAGGTGAGAAACTCCAGCAAAGGCAGATCCAGGCAAGCCCTGGGGACAAAGTCCTGCAGAGTCACAAGGAGCCTTTGGCTCATCGCTGATAACGGTGATGTCACGTTTCCATTCTGATCCTCCACCACCTTATACCAGATACTTGCTAAAAGCTGTAACCCCAAAGTCCTTTTCAGCAGGGACAAGGTCTCCAGGGTGGAGTCCAGCCCCTGCTGCTCTGACCACAGGGTTCCCTTCCTTCCCCAGTGTCATTTTATGAAGGGAAGGTGGTAACTCCAGATAAGAAGAGGATACTTTCATTTTTGGTTTAAACTCTCCCAGTTTCGTTTCATCCTAGATAAGTGGTTTCATGTCACTCCACCCAGGAGAGAGCTTTCCTATTTAAGGCTCAGTCCCTAGCTTACAGACTGTCCTGACCAGGATCTGTTGCTGTGTGGAAGAGGTGCAGCCAAGCCATCATTCCTCAACAGTGACATGTTGCCTGCAGCAAAACTGAGGTGAGTGCACAGCATTTCTTCTTGTCACAGCTCCCACAGCCTCAGGGTGTGAGGGCACAAGGCTCAGCACAGCATCCTGGCTCAGAACCTCACCACGGTTAAGGCTGGAAAGAGCCTCTGAAAGTCACCTTGTCCAAGGTGCTGCATCCAGACAGCTCTGGAGTCTCTCTGAGGGTGCAGACTGCACAACCTATCCAGGAAAAATGTGCAAGGCCTTTCTTCTCACAGTTAAGTTTCCTGATGTCCAGATGGAGCTTCCTGGGCTTGTTTGTGTTCTTCTTGCCCTGGCACTGGGCACCACTAAAAAAGCCTGGCACTTCTTTGTACCCTCCCTTCAAGTATTTCTACAGCTCCAAAGTGCTTCTAAGCCTGCTCTTCTTTAGGCTGAACAGTCAGCTCTCTCAGCCTTTCCTCACAGAAGAGACACACCAGTCTAACATCTTCCTTACCTTGTTGGAGGCTCTTTTCTGAGCCTTTTCTTCACCCTTCAGCTGAAGACATAACCCCATAGAAGGTGAAGAAGCTTTCACTGTGTGGGTGGGGCTGGCTCTACTGTGCCTTTTTGCAGCCCATGCCAGGGCCTTTGCCTTAGGTGAGGGAGCACTGGTGACTCCATTCCTGGCTCTCTGTTCTCCAAGGCTCACAGAGAGCTCCCTGAGAAATGGACTGATTGGAACAACCATTTGCAGGTTCCTTAGTAGCCTGAGTGCAAGGGATGTGTTGTCCAACTGGAGAAAGTCCCCTCCTCCACCTCCCTTCCTCTTTTCCTGCTCAGGGTGGGCATCCCAGTGTCCACCCTTCAATAACTCAGTGTCCTCTTTGTAGCAAGGAGCAGCTGAAGGAGAAGCTGGATGCCCTTCAGTGTCACTTCACCTGGATGTTGGGTGTTGAATCTCACAGTCCTCAGCATCTCCTGCAGAAGCTGGATGTTGAGATCAAGCACACAGCTCACCAGAACCAGCTGGCCCTCCTGGGGCTCCAGGCATACCTGCACCAACTGAATAACCAGAGCGAGGAAGCTCTGCAGAGCCTCAGAGCTGCTGAGGAACACAAGGAAGATGAGCAGCTGGCATCTACTGCTGGCTCTTTGATCATCTGTGGGAATTATGCTTGGATTCATTACCTTCAGGGCTCCTACCAGGAGGCTGAAACCTGCCTGGAACGAGTTCAGCAGCTCTGCCCAACTCCTTGGGATGTGCGGCTGATCCCGCACATCCAGGCCCAGAAAGGCTGGTCCCTCCTGGCTATCAGAGCCCGAAATGGGGAACGGGCAAGAGAGTGCTTCAACATGGCCTTGATGCTTGAACCACAGAACAGATCTTTCCGTACTGGGCTTGCAATGGCTTTTTATTCCTCCTGGAATTCCTCCTGGCAACCTGATACTGAAAGAGAAGTCAGAATCCAGTTGGAAAGAATTGTCAATGAGCAGCCAGATAACTACAAAGCCAAAATATATTTGGCCAGGCTACTTGAACAAGTAGATGGGGAAAAGTCAATTGGCTTGGCCAAAGAATGCGCAGAGAAAAGCTCTGACCCAGAGGTCCTCAAACTCTCAGCTTTGTTCTGGATGCCACGGTCAACAGAGCGAGCGCTTGAGATCATCCAGCGAGCCCTGCAGCAGGAGCCAGGTTACCATCTTCTCTACCAGGCCCTGGCCAACTGCTACAAGCAACAGTGGGTTAAAGCAAAGGAGGAAGACAAGGATAAGATACGGTGTAAAGCCATCAAGGACCTCCAGAAAATTGTGAAGACACATCCAGACCTTGACCTTACACTTGCCAAGCTTCAGCTGGCAGAGTTCATTGGTGCAGAAAACCCAGCAAAGGAAAAAGAGATCTACATGGAACTGGAGAGGAAAATCAACACCCTGAGCCTCAGATGCCGTCAAGCCCTGAGTCTCTCCTGGGGAAAGTACTTCCTCTACCGAGATAAATCCCCGGAGAAGGCAAAAGCCAAGTTCATGGAATGTTACAGCATTCCCCTGCAGACAGACCACAGGCAGGACTGTGGGCGCAGGCTGGTGAAGATGGCTGGAATCTACAAGAGCAAGGGTAACACCCAGGCTGCCAGCGCCATCCACCGCTTCTTCCAAGAGGCCGACCGGCACTGCCCGAGGAACCAGTTGCACTCGGTTTAGATGATGAGGATCAGCCCACAGAGAGTAGGGCCTGAGTTTTCCCAAGGCTAGAAGGCCAAAAGGACTGGCTGGCCCTGCAGAGCAGGCCTCATGTGGACCTAGTGGTTCTGTCAGCTCCTCACGCTCACCCATTGCTCGGCTGTCAAATCTAGGCCCACTCGTGGGTAACTCAAGTGCCCAAACCTTACACACGCTGCTGTGTCCTGCTTCTCCCAGAGGGAATGAAAACAAGAGTGAAGAATTTGTCTTACAGGGTCTGAGCACAATCTTCTGCAGGTGTGGACTTGTGTCTCTCCCTTGGAGCTGCCATTGATCAGAACTGAATGCCAATTAGGGAAATGTAAGAAATCAACCTGTTAATTATAAGTATTCTACCATTTGCAATGAACCAGGAGGTGAATTCCTCCACAAGATCAGTGAGGAGCCATGATGAAGGTGAAGTCCTGTACAGGACATAGATGGTCACTGGCCTGTCCAAATGCATTAAATGATGCTGATTAAGGAGCCCACAGGGGTGATTTTATCTGCATTAATCCTCAGAAGTACACGCATGCCTGTCCCTGCCTGGACATAAACCAGGAGCTTTCTTGTACTGGTTCCCACCAGGAATGACATTTTCATCCCTGTTTCTGCAGCCACACTGAGGCTTTTAAAAATCTTTGGTTAATAAACACTTCTCTGTGTGATTTCTCCTTGCTGGTGTCTTCTTGCAGCCTGAAGCATCCAGAGCATGGAACAAAAAAGATCTACCCTCTCCTCACTGTTCTCACTCTCCATCCCCCCGAGACCCTTCCCACTTGGAATTTGTGCCCTTACCTGCAGGCACAGGTGGGCACCCCCCATCCCAAGCACTGCCAGGATCACCTTTGTGCCCAGCAGTACCCAAGTGGGGGTGGCTTCCCAAGATGTCCCCAAACCTACCTGTCCCCACAGAGCAGTGCCACAGGGACCAGGGCAGATGTCCCTCAGCAGGTCCCACCAACAGTGACCATATATCTGCTCCAGTGAGGAACAGGTAAGGACCTAGTCTGTGAGAAGATGCTCCAGGAAAGGACCAAGTGTGCCCAAAACCAGAATTTGGTTAAGGAGAACACACCTTAGTGCCCCTCTCATGCACACCTGGTGTGTCTGAAACACCCAGAAACATCTCCGTGCTCAAGGGCCCCAGCACCAGTGTGCAAACACTTCACCCCCCAGACCTCACAATCAAGGGGAAAGAGAAACACCCCAGGCTATTTCACCTCCCAACACAGTGGGGATCAAACCTGTCGTCCTCCTTTGTCCCCTGGACCCAGGAGCCACAGCCCAGGGCAGCATCCGGCCCCCAGCAGCAAGGTTGGCTGGGATCAGTCCTTGGAGCAGGAGCAACTCAGAGAGCAGCCCCTCAGCCTCCAGTGAGGCCACACATGCCTGGGTGAAAATACACAAGTCAAAACCACAACGAGAACACAAAACCATGGGTTGTGTAAAACATCAGGATTTACTTCACTGTTGCAGAGTCAGGACAGTTTTCCAAAGCTCAATAAAAACAGCCACTTGATAGATTAGTTTGTGTGGCACAGGTGTCTTCACACAGCACTGGGCAAGGTCCCAGGTCCTGACCTGGAAAAGCAGGACTCCCACCCCCACTGAACCACCATCCCTCCCCTCACCAGCATGAGCAGCACTAATTCCTTTGGGCTAGCCAGGAAATAATTTGGTTTTGCATCTACACCCTCCTCTAGGGAATTCACCCCTTGCAAACACAGGACCAGGAAATGTTCCTTCAGAGGAGCCACAGTCCCTCGGGCAGCTCCTTGAAGAGAGGCTTTTGCCCACCAACCCAGTCCAACACTGCCATCCTCAGGATCGCAGCTGCACCACCGGCCAGGTGGGACAGACTGTGCTGATGGAGAGCCTGGATTCTGACAAAGCTCAGACACTGCTGTGCCAAGAACATCCTACAGAGTCCTAAAAACCAACTGACCCTCATTTTGTGACTGCTCTACCTCACACAGGGAGAAAAACAGATGTTAGTGAAAATGCCAGTTCTCTAGAGTTTTTTTAATGATTAACACTGAACAAATCCTGCTTGTTACTGTCTTCACCAATACTACATTCAGCACAGCATTAGATAATAAAAATAAATTGCACTATAAAATTCCATTAAAAGTCTCAGTTAAGCTGAAAGATAAAAGGCAAAACATTATTTCATATAAGCTGCCAGGGGCCACGGAGACAACCTGTATTTCTTCTACTGGTGAGTATTGGTGTGCAAATGCCAGGACAAGACCAGCTCCCAGGTCTTCACTTCAGCATAGGAGAGGCAAAGAAGTTACCCTGATGCCCAAGCTGGGTTGTTGACTTGCTTTTGCTCCCAAATCTAATTCAAGAGAAACACAAGATTATCAGTTTGGAATTCTGGACACAGAAGATCCAACTCTCCCTTTTCCAGGGAACATGCACCCACCTCCCAAACAACGTTCCTCTCCCTACCACGAGAGGATGTTTGTTACCCAAATCTGCTGCTCCCACAGCACGGATTAAGGGAGGGTTCGCTGAGTAGTAAGTGCAGGCTGCCCCCAAATATCTCAGTTCTCCTAGAGCACCCGAAACCACCTGCAGTCATTCCAAACACGGCATGACAACACCCCCTGGCACTTAGCACTTACTTGGGGGTGGTCTTGCTGAAGGTGGAGCGGACCCGCTGGGACAGGGAGCTGGACGAGGGCGTCTTGGAGAGCTGATGCTCCGGGTGGTGAGAGAGCCCCAGGATGCTCACTGCCAAAAGAGAGCAGCACAGTGTGGGGACAGCTGAAGTTTTCTTTGCCGTGCAGGGAACATCAGGCATTCCCTGGCATCTGTGAAAAGCACTAGACAAATCTGGCATTTCCTGGCACACTTTGCTTTTTCGTCTGCCTCCATGAAGCGAGGAGCGGCTGGCTCCCAGAGCCTCACAGGCTACTTGGGTTGAGGGTTGTTGTTTTTAGTAACAGAGCAGAAGGCAGGATTACCTTGCACCTCAGGTGTCCGTGGAGTGGAATAGGCGTTGGTGTTCTCAATCACGTGTGCTGGGTCAATGTTCTCCTGCTCCACCATCATCAGCTGGGTCCAGTAGTCCATGGGCAGCAGCAGGAGTCGCTCCACAACCTACAGAGACACCTGTGAGCCACTGATCACAGAATCGTGGAATAGTTTGGGTTGGAAGAGAGAAAATCACCAAGGTTTGTCCTACCTTGGGCTGTCGCTTCGTGTCTTGCAGGAGGGTCATGGGGTCAGGATCTGGTACTGCGTGGGCAACTATTGTAGGGCCAAAGACTTTGGCCAAATTGGAGATGTCCATTTTAGTGTCCGGGCTCTGAGCCACCCTACATCAAAAGAAATTAAGAACGAATGTAGCTACCCCCCTTCACTCGTGATACAAGTCCCCTGTCCCACACACACTTAGCCTCTCAGTGAGCAGATTGGTTCCAGAATGAAGACTTCATGCTCACAAGCAGTAACCAGACCCAATTAGAAAAGCACCAGTGAGGTAACCTTCCCCTTTCAGATCACAGAATGGTTTGGGTTAGGAGGGACCTTTGAGATCACCTGGTTCCACACCCCCCGTCCATCAGAACATACCTCTGCAGGTGGACCATGAGGAAAGCCAAGGTGTCTCTATTGGCCTGAGGAAGTTCTCCAACTGCTTGGTACATAGCAGCGATGCTGTTATCCTCATCCGGGATTTCTAGCAGGAAAAAATAATATTTAGACCTAAAAAAGTGCTCCCAGAAGCTACAATTTTCCCCTCACTGTCACAGCTACCCTGAGACATAAAGAAGCCAGAAACTTCTCACGCTGTGCTAATAATCTTGTATCCTGCCCAACTAGAACTCAGGCACAAGGACTCCACAGAGCACCAAGGCCTCCTGGTTCACTTGACAGCAAAACCACAACCACTGAGCCTCAGGAAAGAGCTGGAGATGTCACGCAGCAATTCCTCACCTGCAGCTTCCATGAAAGTCTTGTTTAACTGAAAAGTGAGAAGGGGCTCTTTCAGGCTGCGCAGGAAGTCTTTGAGAAGGCCGCAGATGGCGTGGATATCGTCCACTTTACTGAGCAAAGGAATGTTCTTTGCTCTGAGAAACTTCTCCTTCAGTTCCCTCACAGTCTTGTCACAGCCAGAGATGCGGTAAATACCTGTCTGTTGGCACAAAGCTTGGCTCAGAGGAGGAGGTCAATTGGTTTTCTTTCATCCTCACCTTCTCCCCACACGGAGTCACCCACTAAGCAGCACAATGCACACCATAAATAAGGGATATTTGGGTTAACAATTTGCTTCCCTAACACCACGACCCATTTCATTAGTACTGTTTCACACCTCATTTTCTTCTTACCTCATGCAGCCCTCGTTGCTCAATCTCATTAACACAGTGCACAATGATGGAAGGGATCATTGGAGGAGTAGAAGGGACAAAATCCATCAAGGTGCCCTAAAAGGCAGAAGGGAAAGTAAAAAAAAAGATGGATTCAGTCACCAATACACGGAAAATACTCCCTCAGGAATTCACAGCAAGATCTATGGTCTCAAACCAAGAATTGTTGCTCTTCTAAGGACTGATGAAGAAACATCACATCCATCAGCACAATGCTGCCCAGAGCTGCCACCTTCCCTCCTACCATCACACCCCTAACACCCCCTCCCTGCTTGTGCAATGATGCATTAGTGAGCTCATTTGCATGTCATTATGCAGCTCTGAGCAACAGGAGCTTCGCTGGGGAAGGCAGCCTTGGAGCTGAGCAAGTCCCAAGCCAGGGCGGCCCCTCTGGTAGCCAGCCCCAAGCCCGGGGCACAGACCCACCTCCCCAATGCGCACTGGAGTGCCCGTCAGCGTGGGGATGCAGGGCAGGGGGCAGCGCTCCCGGCACTCCGGGTGAGCCACCACCCGGCAGTCTCTGCACTTCAGAGAGATCTTCCCAAACTTGACTCTCTTCCCACAAGGAACACAGGATTCTGGCTTGATAACCTGGTGATCCAGAGAACACAGATGAGAGAGATTAGTGCAGTGTAGGAATTAAACTGGGTAACGGTTCTGAGCCATGCAGGTAACTGGTACTCGTCATATTGACCTGAGACTAAATCACAGAATCATGGAATAGCCTGAATTGGAAGAGAGGTCATCCAGTGCAGCTCCTGGCCATGCACAGACACCCCAACAATCCCACCCTGTGCATCCCTGGGAGCGCTGTCCAAACTCTCCTGGGGCTCTGGCAGCCCTAGGGCCGTGCCCATTCCCTGTTGGGCCTGTTCAGTGCACAACCGCTGCTCTGGGAGAAGAAACTTTTCCCAATATCCAACCTAAACTTCCTTTGATACAGCTGGCAGCCTCTTATCACACACATTTCAAGAAGGAAGGAGATGCTTTTCTAAGCTCCTCCTGCCCATAGACCCACCGTTTTTGAAACAAAGTCATGCAGCCTCATTCCCCCGTTGTGCTGTGGGGTGCTGGAGCCATCAGTGTCCAGCTTGGACTCCAGCTGCTTACTGCCTATGCTGGACTCGCTGTTCCAGGGCTGCAGAGGACCTGGAAAACACAAGAGGAAGAAGCTGGAATCACCCACTGCCCCTAAACACATGGGCATCATAAATTAGAAGCAGCTCCCAGCTCCTGGCAGGAATAACAAACATTTCAGGATAACCTGTGTAGATGTGTCAGGACAGGAC